ATTGAACTGTACACTTCTAGTCATATAAGACTCTGAACGCATATTGGTCTATTGGATAGTTTCTTTGATTTGGATAATAGAAGTCTTGGAATTCATAATAATTAAATATTTACAGTCTGTAAAGAAAACACTTTAGACATTTAAGAAGTGTTTTATCAGCCAAGGAAAGAAATATATCAGTCTTCAGTTTTTTAATAAAATATTGATTCAAATGAATAGCCAGGATAACTCAGGTCAATTTAATGAGGCTCGTAATCAGTTGACCTTGGAATAATATTAAACTCATCTAAAATCTTTTTTTTTCTATTACCCTTTTAACGTTTTCTAAAGCAGGGATTCCAGAAGTTAGTGCTTTTTCCTAGATATAGTGGAGAATTTTGTAAGAAAAGTATATAAACCAATACTCAAATTCTGACTCAATGTTCCTCATCATATTTAAATACAGAACATAAAGTTTAACCAAAGGAGTCAGTTAACATCACCAGAAAGGTGAGAGAAATGCTGGGTTCAGTTTACCAACCCCATCCAGCTATGAGTTTAATAACTCAGCAGTGATTTTATAATCGTACTTAATTTAATAGGTAACAAGATTTTCTTCATTAAAAAAAAATAGAATTCCTTAGAACTGAATTTGTTATTAGTCTTAAAGAATCAAATTTGTTTTCCGGACTTTATGTGATATACAAACATACTGTGTAATTAAGATCAGGTTTGATATTAAATGGGAAGGTATTTTGTACTAGACAGTCTAGGTATTTTATAGATAGAACAAATTATTTAGATCTATAGGCTTAAAATAAAAATATGGCCTAAAAATAAGACTTTAAAATCATAAAATTTATAACTCAAATTAATATCCCCTTAAAGAAAGCTAATCTCATAATCAAAGATATAAATAGTAATTATTGGGGGGAAAAATCCAGTTTTTAAAAAAAATTATGTTGCCACATTCTTAGCACAGTTTATTTTAAATACTGCTCACGTGATGTTGACTATGTCCAAAAGCTCTTTGATTCAAGATTCTGGGATCACTCAGGAGATTAAAAAGGCCGCATACATGCAACATAAAATCCTCATTAAAATGATAATCAGGGCCCCATGGCTCACAGATTCAGATCTCTACATAGGGATGGCAGGTTAGCTCACTTGGAGAGCATGGTGCTGACAACACCAAGCTAAGGGTTAAGATCCCCTTACCAGCCATCTTTTAAAAAAAAGAAATGATAATCAGATCAGAACTTAGTGATTTTTTTAAAAAAATGCTGGTGTATGATTGTGTTCTAAGAAAATGCCAATATCAAACATATATTTAGGAATCTAAATTTTCTAAGATAATATGGAAAAATGAAAATTACATTCACACTTTTGTTTTCTATTATTAAAATGGGACTTTAGAAAAAGAACTGTATCAATTTAATTGTATCTAAATGCTTTTGCCTTATCATCCTAAACTTTTGTGTATAAGTGGATCTTAAAAGGAAATGTTGTTTATTGAGGCCAATTTGCACATACAAATTTTTCGTGGGAGGGTTGAGTGTAAAGAATATGATAGCAGGAAAAAGAAAAGTGGGTATACATACTCTTTCTCTTCTGCACCCCATCTAAAACATCGTCTTCCTGTTCACATTGGCAGAATAGCACAAGGCCATTACTATTTATTGAGACATTCCAAAAAGATATAGCAAAGTTTCTCTCTCCTGTAGCAAGATATATTATCTGAGTAAAATTATCAATTAGAATAGAGCGGCATAGGGCCGGCCCGGTGGCACACTGGATAGTGCGCCGCTTGGGAAGCGCAGCGGCGCTCCTGCCCAAGGGTTCGGATCCCACATGCAGACCGGTTCCCGCTCACTGGTTGAGCGAGGCGCGGGAGCAACACTGAGGGTTGCAATCCCGTTGCCGGACACGGAAAAAGACAAAAGACAAAAAATAAATAAATAAATAAATAAAAGAATAGAGCGGCATAAAAAAACACCCTTGGAAAAAAAATTTCTGAATATAAAAGAAAATCTTAAGAACAAAGAAGGCCAGAAAAGAATGCTTTGGCAAATAATTAGTATTAAAAAATGAATAAGGGAAAGGATTTGTTTTCTGGGCCATGGTTTATAACACCAGAAATATGTTTTCCTCTAGTGGATAGCAAGTATCTCACAAAACGTGGAAAGAACAGAATTAGCAGGAGACTTACTGATCCGATCGAGAAGGCTTTAAAGGAAGACTCACAGTGGGAAAGAAAAATGTAAATCAGTAAAATGGATCTTATGGAGGACAATAGGTTTAAAATGAAAATAAGATATAGTGAAAAAAATGTCTGGAAATTACTTTGTGAAAATCATGGCTAGGAATAATATAATAATTAGGCTTAAGATATGCAGTATAGTAAATAAAAGTAAAATAATAATATCAGACATGTTAAGCTCTTAAAATACTCTCTTCTTTTTTTTCTTTCAATCCTCATACAACCCTGGCAGGTGACTTTAAGAATTGCCACAAATGTCTGTGCAAAGAGTGCCTGGCTTGTGGGACACGTGGGGGACATCTTCAATTCCATGCTCCAATTGCCTGACAGGTAGCATCATCTTGGACTTACAGGATAGGAACCCAGGTTTGCTATGTTCAGAAACATGCTCAGGGTTATATAACTAAAAAATCAGAAGGCTAATTGGCTAAACTTGGAAGCCAGGTTTGTCTACAATTCATTATTTTAACAAAACATAGTAAAGGGAAATTTATACACACATATGCACACATATATAATTTAATCTAACAAAGCAGAGTAAGAGAAAATTATCCAACTAATTTGGTCAAAAAGAACAATGCAATGACTGGGAAATATGTGTCACTGCATATCAGGGAGTTATTATACACCAGCTTTATAGTCAAAAAATATAAAGACAGGAATTTAGAGAAGATGTTTGTGTCAGGGAGGGAAAATCAAAAAAAGAGAAATTATCATTGGAAAATAGCCTAACAAAACAATATTACACAAGATAGTTTGCTAGGAATGAGTACAAGATATAAACTGGAAAGAGGGGATTTAATTAATTGGAACCCTCCTGGGAGGAATTCTAACTCTGCTAAAATCCGTCTTCTATTTGGGGGTTGAGAGACTTCACTGGTTATTATTTTTCCGTTAAATTTGACTTACAGAGAATGTTTCTGACTTTCATATACAACAGAGACCTTAGGTGGGAACAATGTATTTGAGGCACTTTAGAGTAAAGGAAGGAAATAAGGAGCAAAGTTGGGTAAATTCTGTAGACTTACAAAAAAGCAGCCCTGCAACTAGCAGTGGGAAGTTACCCAGAGATTCTCAGAAAATCTAACTGATTAGAAAACTCAGAAACTAAAGATACAATTCTGACTCTATCATTGCAAATAAATCTATAGCCAGAACATAGCAAAAGACACCTAAAGAAAACAATTTAATTTTACAAATAGCAATTTGGTTTTAGGTTCTTAGATTTAAAAAAAAGAAATATGTCTGGTAAAAGATAACATGTTTGGTAAATGACCAAACAAGATGTGAGACACCTAAAGAAAACAATTTAATTTTACAAATAGCAATTTGGTTTTAGGTTCTTAGATTTTAAAAAAAGAAATATGTCTGGTAAAAGATAACATGTTTGGTAAATGACCAAACGAGATGTAGTAAGGAGTTAAAAAAAAAAAAAAGAGTGTGAGGTTTGTGAAGTCAAGAACTCTCTGAGATGCCTCAAATATGAAAAGTTTAAAAATATTAGCTGTGTTAAGAAAAGAAAAAGAAAAAGAACGGGATAAGCCCCTCAGCGTAGGGAAGAAGAACTGCTAATTTGTTTTGTTGTTATCTTCTCCATCAAGGAAGACGGTCAATAAGAACAAGTTGAACAAACAAGTTTGAGATGGATTTGAGATTGACTCAGATTTTCCTAGGGACCAATGTAAATGAAGGGTAATAGGAGAAACTTGCTGAACGGTCCACTGTATTTTGATTTATCAATGACCTGTGAGCACTTAGATAAGTAAGCAGCAATTATCAAACGGCAGGATGTTTTCACTAGAAAAGCTCTTTTACTTTTTTGAGATAATCAAACACACAGTTTAGGAATATTCAATTTACAGTGTTTCTTATTTCAATGATGCTATCTTACAAGGTTTCTTATTGTAACTTTATGAGCAAGATAGAAAAACCACAATTTTATGATAGAAGAGCTGAATGGATTGTTGGACGTTAATCAATCTTTCCCCAAGCAAACTTTGTCCTTTCTACTGTCCTAACTCAAAATGTTATCCTGCAATTTAATTAAGGCAGTGGAACACACACTTTGCAAATCTGTGAATAATACAAAACTGTAAGGTTGAGATAATAGATTATGTGGCAATCAGATAAATATTCAAACATGTTTTATGCTGAAACAGTCACCCAGACAGTATGCGATCTGACAAAACACAATGTAAGGACTTATATTGACCATGTATACCAACAAAGGATGAGTTTAACAGTGGTTCATTCGTAAAACATATCATTTTTTCAGCGTAACACGTAATCTTCAGCTACCTTAGGGAAATATCATACTTTATTATTTCTTCTCATTTTACTAAAGTATTTCTATTCTTCAGACATATTAAATTAACTTTTAAAACATTCTTGAACTCTTAGTGTAAAAATATGTAAGACTTTCAGCTTCTTAGAAAACAAGACAAATAGTTATGCAGTTTAGGTAAGAGGGAGCACATCCTAAATAAATTCATTTCGTGGTAATTATACGATCCCCTAGCATATCTTGTGATAAATGTTTTCAGAAAGCTCAAAGAATATCACTGTAATGTGTCTGCTATCATACTGGAAAATGTGTAAATTAATTTCAAATATTTCAAAGTAATTCAGAACAGTTTGTGTAATATTATCTTTGATATAAAAAATATATTCTGGAATTCATGTAAAATGTTTAGAAAAATTACAGCAACAAGGTGTTCACAAAGGACAACAAGGAAAAAAAGATATGAATTAAATTTCTCACCTGCCTTATACCCAACCTGTATGCGACAATCCGATCCACTGCATCAGGATTCATTTGTGTCCACTGTAGACTGTAGGAATAAACACGGTGTCTGTTCTGCCACACAGGATTATAGGTATCGTAATAGAATTCTGGAGCATAGGCCTTTCCTAAAAACAGAAAGTGTGCTTAAATTTGAATGCTGACATATTATAGTGTAAACATGCATATTATTCTCTTTGGGCCTTTTATCACTTTCTACTATATGTTTTATAAGTAATTCTTTTCTTGAAAGAATTGAAAAGTCATATTATTAAAGTCCAATCAATTTTCTAGATAGGTTTTGAGAATAGATACCAGATTTCCTGGTTGATTGGATGAGCAGCATGAGAAAAAGAGAATAATCAAGGGTGACCATAGGCATACACATAGAACTTAAATTTAAAGCCATGAGACTGATGAGCTTATTCAAGAGAGCTTGCGTAAGCAAAGAAGAAGGTCTGAGCATGGGGGCAATCCAAGGTTAAGAGTTACAGGAGGAGACAAGAACCACACAAAGGCCTGAGATGGAACAAGTGAATAGGAGGAAAACCAAAAATGTGCTATCCTATAGGTCAAAAGAAGTGTATCAGGAATGAGTGATCAATTATGTTGAAAAAAATTTGTGAAAAAGAAAATTTGTGTTTGTATTACCTGTGGTTTTGATCAATAAATTTGAACTTCAAATTTAAAACAATAAATTAATAACAAAAGAACTTCAGCCAATAAAAAAGCTTTTATTTGGATTTTAAGGAAGTGTGAAGTACATATAGTGTACAAACCATCTCAATTTACAGTGTGCGGATCATTGGGAAATATAGATCTAACTTTCCAATATTCTGCAATACAGATTTTTAAGATTTACTTTATAATTTAATAATAATATTTAGTGAGAGCCTGTTAAATACCAAGTACTGTGCTAGGCATTAGGGATACAATGAATGAGGAGATGTGACTCATTTTTTTATGGAAATTGCTTACATTTTCTGAGACTTTTAAAATAGCTTTGCAATTCTTACTGGGTAAGTTGAAAAATTTTACTTTTATCATCCCTTGTTAACACCTTTTCTTTTTTTAAAATTAGATTAAATATTAAATGTCCTACTGGGTTTTTTGCTATACACAGGAACTTCTCCTACCTAGGTCTGCATATTTCTTCATCATCACTTACTGTCATCTAAGGGTTGCAGAAGAGTTGATCCAGAAAACCTCATAGCACACAATTAAAGGATAAATTTTGAACACTTAAGAATGGAAACGATGGTCTCAATTATCCTGAAGAGTTTCATCAATGACATCAGATACACTAAGTTTAATTTTTGACAGGTTTTCTAGTAAAATTAAATACAGTAAATTAAACATCTGAACTCACATTTGGCAAAGTCCCATACATCAAAATTGTGTTCATTTTAAAAAATGTTCTGTGAATATTTATTCAGTTGAATTGAAAAATGGGTTATCAACCCTATACAAACGAAGGAAGTTTTTAGAAAAAAGCCACCATATTCATTTTATTTTCTTCTTTTACTTATTACTAAATAATACTACAAATTCATGTTCACACTTAAGAGCAAAATCCAGATAAGAAGAAAACAATATACTGAATGAGGGAATCAATACTTAAAACATTCTTAACAACTCACATTTGAAAACAGATTTCTCAAAATGGAATTGGGGAGGTGCATTTTGTAGTAGCTGAGATAAAGAGCTAAAAGTTTTGATTAAAATAAACAACAAACACCTACAAATGAAGTAATGAGAGGCTTAGTTAAATAATGTAAACCTCGAGTGTTTTATTTAGAGAGTAGTGTCTAGATTGAATAGGGGAGATGAGAGTCTTGTGTTTCTTGTTTTTTATAGAGAATGGGGGTTTCTTTTGTTGTTTAACTGAGGAGGAAACACAAAGAATATTAGATTCATTTCTAAGTAGCACTTCCTTAAAAAAAGGAAGGATACATTCAAAGAGGAGGAGAGGAAAGAGTCATAACTAGGGCCTATGTAGCATGGAAAAGAAATCTCTCTCAAAAGTGGGTGAACAGAGTTTTCTAAGAGTTGAAAATCTATCACAGAGAAAGGAAATCAGACTAAATGTTAACAGATCTATGGAATAAAATGAATACCAGTGATTGGCTATTAAAAGGGTGCATATTTTGACTTACAAACGTTCTATCAATGATCTCTGAATATGGAATGGTCTACCACAGTAGACTATGGGTTTCCCTTCTCTAGAGGTATTAGTCAATACCTAAACAGCTATCTAGCAGGGCGGAGATGGGTATCTGCCTACGAGATGGCCACTAAAGTACCTTTCAGTCCTGAATCTGCAGGATGCTGTGAAACATTTGCCTACTTCAAATTAGATTTGATACCTTAACTAATTTTAGATCAAATATGGTTTAAATATGGAGGGACTGGCACTTCTAAATTATCTCATGACATTTTAAATGTATCCCTCTTGAAAGAGCATACACGTGTTGTAAAAAATTATGTTTCTCCTAATTTAGTATGCACAACTATGAGTTCATCTCTAAAACAAGTTCCAGGAATCCAGATATTTTACAAATACCAGTTTATTCTGATGCAACGGACTGCAGACCATGCATTCTAGAATGCTTTAAAAAGGCTGAAATTTTTCTCTGAAATTACCTCCACATCTGTACAACTAAAGACATCAAAACTAATTCTAAATCCACAAGAAATATCTCTTTGGTCTTCTCCCTCTGCTCTGAGGCTGGCAGCAGCACACCTGATCCAGCAGCCGCCATCTCTGATCAAGACAGGGAGGTCAGTCAATGGGCAAAGGAGGATAAAATGATGACAGGAAATCACATTCTCAGAATTTCAGAAAGTAGATATCCTAGCATAGTTGACTTTTTGTTGACTGCCAGTGGGGTAATTGGCCACATGTCATAAATGCAAACTGCCATCATTCTAGGGAGATTATCTAAATTAATACGTTTAAGGTTATTGAAGCAGTGTGAACCTGAAATTAAAACAAAAAGACTCATGACCTTGTGAATAATATGAATTTGTTTATTAAGATCCATTTTGAAAGTAATGAAAAAATTAAGCTTCAATCAAACCTTAATTTAAATATTCTTTGTGGATCAAACAGTGTGAAATTCTATAATTATCTTTATGTTTAATAACGTACTATTACAAAAGCTTTCCAATGTATTCTAAAAATACTTTATTTTATCTGCATTGGAAGCTTCAATCAAACCTTAATTTAAATATTCTTTGTGGATCAAACAGTGTGAAATTCTATAACTATCTTTATGTTTAATAACGTACTATTACAAAAGCTTTCCAATGTATTCTAAAAATACTTTATTTTATCTGCATTGGTTGACTCATGGAATACTAGATTAAAAAATACTTTAGAGATTATTCCAATGTCTCCTACTATAGGTTAAAATACTTAGGGACGGAGTGGAGATGGTGATAACACATGGAAGATGATATAATAAATAATCAAATACCATAAGGCCCATTACAATTTTGACTTTGCTTCATAACTTTTAAAAACAAAATTAGATCTGGCCAGTTAGCTCAGTTGGTTAGAACATAGCCTTACAACACCAAAATCAAGGGTTCTGATCTCCGTATGGCCAGCCACTAAAACACACACACACACACACACACACACACACACACACACACACACACAAAATTAGAGGAAGCTTTATTTTAGTTGAATAATTGGACTACCCTGAAGTTAAAAGTGAAAAACCTTTGAAAAAAACCTCAAAAAGAAAAAAATGCTTACTGATTTCATTTAAGAAATGTATATTAAAATTTTTTTAAAATGTGCAATTTTCTTCTCTGGTTCAGAGCCAATCACAGTTAATGTTAATGTGCTTGCTTTTAAGAAGCACACAGTAATACTAAGGAAATACCCTTATAATAATCTTAAACTCTGACAACAAAACGTGATGTCTGCTGGTTGAACAGTGAAAGAACTCGTGATTTCTTTTTTCTTTTTTTATACTTCCAGCATTTTTCTTCTTCTTCCAGAAAGCAGGCCGAGAAAATTTTCATACTCTTTTACATTTATTCTTATTTTAATTTTATACAATGTTGCTCCATTTTAAATCTAGAAATACATTCATTATCTAAATTGAGAGATAATTTTTTAGATGTTACATATGATTATATATAGATCTTACAACTTAAAAATATCTTTAAAATATTTTTAAGAATATAAAATATATATAGAAAAAAGTGTGCTGCTCAAGATATTGCACAGAATTTATATAAAAGTACAAGTATTCTATTTTGCAAAAGCTTTTGAAAAATAATTGGAGATTTCAAAATATAATTTTACACATTAAATATAAACTAAAAAATCATCATTGTCATTAAAAACACTTAAAATGTGCTTGGCCATATTAATTGATTTTAGTAATGTCAATACAGTCTTTGTAATAAAAAAAAGAGAGAGTGAGATAGAAGGTGTTCAGTTTCCCTGGGTTCAGGTTTCAGGACATGCCTCTGGGTTTCTAGCCACTCCCCCAGGTCTGAGGCCCCAACATCTAGGCTCTCCCCTACAGGAAAATTACTATCCCAGTTACACCTATTTTCAGCACCAACATAGGGAAAATGCAACCACAAGGGGCTGGCTTATGCAAATCCAGTGGCTGGGCATGCTCAGTAAAGAGGGGTTATGTAATCAGTTGGTTAGAACATAGCCTTACAACACCAAAATCAAGGGTTCTGATCTCCGTATGGCCAGACACTAAAACACACACACACACACACACACACACACACACACACACACACAATTAGAGGAAGCTTTATTTTAGTTGAATAATTGGACTACCCTGAAGTTAAAAGTGAAAAACCTTTGAAAAAAACCTCAAAAAGAAAAAAATGCTTACTGATTTCATTTAAGGAATGTATATTAAAATTTTTTTAAAGTGTGCAATTTTCTTCTCTGGTTCAGAGCCAATCACAGTTACTGTTAATGTGCTTGCTTTTAAGAAGCACACAGTAATACTAAGGAAATACCCTTATAATAATCTTAAACTCTGACAACAAAACGTGATGTCTGCTGGTTGAACAGTGAAAGAACTCGTGATTTCTTTTTTCTTTTTTTATACTTCCAGCATTTTTCTTCTTCTTCCAGAAAGCAGGCCGAGAAAATTTTCATATTCTTTTACATTTATTCTTATTTTAATTTTATACAATGTTGCTCCATTTTAAATCTTTTTAGATTAACTGATCTAGAAATACATTCATTATCTAAATTGAGAGATAATTTTTTAGATATGTTACATATGATTATATATAGATCTTACAACTTAAAAATATCTTTAAAATATTTTTAAGAATATAAAATATATATAGAAAAAAGTGTGCTGCTCAAGATATTGCACAGAATTTATATAAAAGTACAAGTATTCTATTTTGCAAAAGCTTTTGAAAAATAATTGGAGATTTCAAAATATAATTTTACACATTAAATATAAACTAAAAAATCATCATTGTCATTAAAAACACTTAAAATGTGCTTGGCCATATTAATTGATTTTAGTAATGTCAATGCAGTCTTTGTAATAAAAAAAAGAGAGAGTGAGATAGAAGGTGTTCAGTTTCCCTGGGTTCAGGTTTCAGGACATGCCTCTGGGTTTCTAGCCACTCCCCCAGGTCTGAGGCCCCAACATCTAGGCTCTCCCCTACAGGAAAATTACTATCCCAGTTACACCTATTTTTAGCACCAACATAGGGAAAATGCAACCACAAGGGGCTGGCTTATGCAAATCCAGTGGCTGGGCATGCTCAGTAAAGAGGGGTTATGTAACCCTGGTGGTTGAATGACCTTCCACTAGAGGTGCTAGAGAGCACAGAACATTCCTGAATATGCCTGGTGCACGTGACAGGACTTGACCAATGAACACACTCCAGGATGAGACCAACTGAGCATGTGCAAGACTAATGTTAAATAAGTGAAAACCACCTCCTTAATTGAATATTCATTAGATAGAAAAACTAAAAAAGCCAAATCCCAGCAGAAGGCAGTGTTCTTGTTCGTTTTCCTGGAGTAGAGGCAGCCCACACTTTGCTGGGTGAAGCAAAGTGTATCTGTATTGAACTTACTTTCACCAAGCGGCTGCTCACTTTCTTGAGCCAGCCTGCATTTTGTACTGAACTTTTTAAGTGTGTATCTCTTGATTTTGTGTTAGACTTGGTGTGGG